TGGGATCTGTAGCCGTTAATTTTATTTTTAAAAACCACGTGAGGAGCACAATATTTAGCAAATCTGATTCTTTGTCTCTAACTTAATTACAGAGTTCATTCAAAATTATCCATCCTTATGACTTTTCTAAGGGAAAGGCATTTCAAATTTTCTAGTTTCGATCTCCACTTTGTTATTATTTAAATTAAATTGAAAACACAGTGTGTATTAGCAAGACAATCATGTTTGACTCATCTTGAAGATCTGTTTGGTGTTAAATGCGTTTGTGTTGCTGTTGTTGTTTGTTTGTTTGTTTTTGTTTTGTTTTCTGTTTTGTTTAGTTTTTGGTTTTGGTTTTCTAGTCAGGGTTTCTTTGTAGCTTTGGGGTTGTCCTGGAAGTATCTCTTGTATACCAGGATGACCTCAAACTTACAGAGATCCACCTGCCTCTGCCTCCCAAATGCTGGGATTAAAGCATGTGCCGCCACTGCGTGACTGACCATTTGCTTTTTTTTTTAAATAAATAAAATGGCATAGGGAATATGTTTTTCTTTTTCTCCAATCATAGTAACATGTCCAATCTTGATAACCATTCTCACTCACTTGGAACTTAATTTTAATCACGTTTATGTGTTGTCAAGCCTTTTTAATACCGAATGCTTTGTGGCTGGAAAGATGGCTCTGCAGTTAGAAGCATTTGCTGATATTGGGAAAGAACCAGTTTCTGTTCAGGATACTCATAGTATAAGTCTGGCAGAAAAATGTTTTTCTTAGTCCTAACATGGCTTACATCCACCTTTATTTTACGCATTGTAGATGAATTGCAATATTCAATTTATTATAACTTTCTAAATTTTGAGTTATCCCACAGTGGGATTGAAACAATAACTCTCTAGAGAAAAGCGTTCAGTCTTTTACATTTGCCAGTCTCTGAATTGCTAAACATAGATGTGAAGGCTTCTTTCTTTTTCAGTGCTTTCACATGGTGGGATGTTTAGAATCCAGTGTTTAGTCTTCTAGAAATATGTGATGCCATCCTGGCTTTCACTGTTTCTTAAACATTATGACTATGTGTGTGCATTTGACACTGAGTGGTGATGGGAATGGGTGAGAGAGAATGAATGTTAATAATATACTGATCCATCAACTGTCCATGGGTTGTCCCATTGCCTGAAATTAAATACAGATGTGTGATAGAATTATATTTTTAAAATATTTTGGACATGAGTTAAAAACAGTTCTAAAAGTCAATTTCTAACACTGTTTTTTATAGTCATACTTTCTGCCGTATTAGAACTTCAATGTTAATATTATATGAGATAACCTATTATTTTTAAAGATTTTTTAATTTCAGATACATTTTAAATCCTTAATTTAGATAAGCATAAAATTTGACATTTGGATCAAGATCACAGAGAACTAGGGAGTAATTATTACTATCTCCAGGAATTATGTGGTTAAAGGAAATATATTATTCATATTATTATTTATATATTCATATTCATATTATGGCATATATCATTTTGGTATTTTTTGGAAGCAATGATTGTTAAGATCTTTTGTATTGTGCAAGTAAAATTAGAACATGAAAGAATCAACAAAGACTGTTAATATGTGAAAATGGAGGTTTTGAGAGTATTATATGTAACAAATACTTTAAAAAGCAAGCTATATAAATATTTACCTCCTTTTGTGAAAGAAAATATTTTACGAATGCTAATGTTTAAGAATACATATTGCAATATAAAGTCTTGATTTTATAGTTTGATTTTCATTATTTCTTATTTTTTTCTTCATTTTATTTTAGTAATATCTTTAAAAAATATAATTAGAGATTCTAGAAAACATTTTGCATTGGCATTATTATTATTTCCAATTTTAGTCAAAATAATCACAAAAATTATTTATGGCATTGTCTAGATCATTTTACAGCCTTCCTAATTTGAGAATGAAATCTTGATGAATTTGATTATTTCTTTCTTGATTTTTTTTTATTATTGTATCCTGTGATTGTCCATCCTTAGTAATACAGTTACTCTCAGTTGATATCTCCGGCTGTCTCAGCAAAGCACAGCAGAAAGTAGCTCTTTTTAGAACTTGGAAACTACGTTATCAAACCATCTTTCATAGAAGGACTGATGCCAATCATTCAGTTCAGTAACAAAGCACTGATGAGGTAAACCCTAAGCAGATGAGGAAATGAGACCCAAGGGCAGCTCAGAGCGTCCTGGCACATTACCATGGGCATCATGCTTCAGAGCCGGCTCCTGTAGAAAAACGTGTACTATCCAGAGGCTATAAAATTGTTCTCCGTGAATTAGAATGATGTAATCATGCTTTGGAAGTATCATTTTAAAAACTATTAGTCATCTTTGTTTATAAATTTTCAACAGACTTCTTCACAGTTTACTTGTTTATCAGAAGGCCCGGGAAGACAGCGTGATTATGAATTTGTTTCAAGCAAAGTTATTTCCTTTGAATTAGATATTGAATACAGATCTAAAACAGTTTCTTTACATATATATATATATATGTATATATGTATATGTATATATATAGTGACTTCATTTGTTTAATAAAATTTCTTATTGGAATATAAAACATGCAATTCTTTTTTAAATGGAATAGATATTCATGAATGCTTGATTGGCAAAGATGAAGGATATTTGTTTGACAAAGGGATATTACACTTTATAGTACAACAAAATAATGAGTTAATAAATGTAAATGAACCTCAAAATTGTTAAGAGATAGTTCCCACATAAGTAAGAGAATATATAAATATACAAGTTTTACGTTGGAAAGTTTTGGAAGTTTTGAAATGACTGATTTGAGAATGATGTTTACAAACTATCAGAGGCCATGAAATTCTTCACATATTTTACACCTATCATACCATATAAGACCTGATAGTAAATTGTTTTAAATGAATTTCCATATGATAATTTTCAATGTTGCTTTCAAAAGAGACCTTTTCCTAATCACCACAGTGGAGCTAATTCATGTGATTAGTAAAGTCAATATATTGTGAAGACATTGTTTTCGTAAGTTTGTAGATTGCAAAATTGGGACATTGATAATTTAAGTTATATGGTTTGTTACAATTATTAGAGATTTTTAATGACAAAATCATTGGTGTATGCCTTTTTATCAGAGCAGTTTAGGTTAAGTTAAAAATGTGGATGTGCAGTTAGAACAGTAAGTTAAAGCTATTAAATTCTCATTTGAATGTAGAAGATAGACAAACAATTACAGTATTTTATTTACTATTGTGAATTTTGATTATATCATGAAGGATTCTTTCTTGTAAAGATTTTACACTAAAACTTTTTATTACTGACAATATAAACATTTTATCATGCCATTTAAATAAGAATGAGAATGGAAACTAAATTCAAATATTTCTAGAAAATATTGCACATGATATACAACTTTTTGCATACCAGCAATTTGGTAAAGAATTATTTTCAGTACTCCATGTTGGGAGTATAAACTGGGATTATACATCTCTTATTTATTCTTGAATGAATATAATGTAATATATGCAATTTCATATTGCATTAATAATATACACAGTTTACGTTCTGTGTACATTTGAACTATGTAAGATTATACATGAATAAGACCGAGATATATGTGGATGTTTTAAAGTCTTGAGAAATAATTAAATTATAAATTTTTCTAGTATAAAGGAAGTCTTTTAAGAAAATATAAAAATAAAAAAATATTGTTGGATAAATACATCTGCCATAAAAATTCAGCTTTTTTCTATTATCATCTGTCTATAAATACATGCTTGAAAATGTTCAGATATTTGGTATATTTTGTGTTTTATTTTGTAATGTTTTTTTGAGACAGTCTCTTTGTGAAACAGTCCTGGTTGTTCTGGAACTAGATTTTGTAGACCAGGCTGGCCTCGAACTCACAGAAATCCACCTGCCTCTGCCTCTCTAGTGCTAGGATTAAAGGCATGTTTTAGTACCACCTGGTTGTACAGATATTTGTATATTTCTATATTTTTAGAGTTAATATTTTAGGCTGTGTTTATTATGTAGATATTATCAGAAAAATATTTCAAATTCATTTCTCAAACTTGACAGAGGATCTAAGTATGGTAACACACATTTAATCCAGTTTCAAGAGGTTAAGAAACAGGCCGACATACTGCAATGGAGTCTAGGCTGGTCAACACAGTGAGACAATATCTAGAAAACAAAACAAAACAAATCCAGATACCCTGACATAACTGTAAGAGCTGATTATGGCTCTGTTGTAAAAAAAAAAAAATCAAGCAAGTCATGACAGTATGAGTATGCATGTTTAAAAACCCAGCACTCTCTTGGAGAGAAGAGAGACAGAGAAAGAAACTCTCTGAAATCTGGGCCAGCTTTTCTGGCATCTGTAGTGCATAAAACTACAAAAATTCCTGCCTCAAATAAAGTGGATAACAGAGATAAGCAGAATATGAGAATGTCTTCAAAATTCGCACACATACTGTGTCACATTAATGCCAAAATTTTATGGATATAAACATCTAAATGTATGTATAAATATATCCCAAAATAAACACTAAAAATAAATTATATTTGCTGTACATATTTTTAAAATTTATGTTCTTATTTGCTTATTTATAATACATTTTAATATTCTTTTGCATATTAATATAGTAAAGGTGATTATTTTGATCATATAGAACTTTATAGGTTAAACAGAAAAATAAATATTTACTCAAGCTTATTATTGCTTCAGATATTTAATGAATAATTCATTTGATAACATTGTTATTATATAGCTTATAATTTATATAATTATTTCTTTCCCATTGAAATGGAAATTTGGATACAAAGTATAAAATATATGTAGCCATGTAAAAGTAATTTTGTGTTGTTTCCTGGTCACATCTGCTACTATCTAATTTAAAAGCATCCAGTAGACTAAAGTCAGAGAAGTTTGCCAGCTCGGCACCTCAGCTGATGGAGAGTCTCTTGCAGGGTAACTAATTGCCTGTGTGTTCTGTCTAGGTGTTGAGGGAAAGCTGAGAGGATGAAGGCTCTAAGTCCCCAGTGGAAGCATGATATGGCGGCGCAGAGCTGGTGCTGAATTCTCCTCTCTGATGGCTCTATGGGAGTGGATAGTACTGAGTCTTCATTGCTGGGTTTTAGCGGTTGCTGCTGTCTCTGATCAGCATGCCACAAGCCCCTTCGACTGGCTCCTTTCTGATAAGGGACCCTTCCATCGCTCACAGGAGTATACAGATTTTGTGGACAGAAGCCGACAGGGATTTAGCACAAGATACAAGATATACAGGTATGAAGAAAAACAATTGTAGATATCCTCCTTGGAGGTTGTGTGTAAATAAGGGTTGTTCAAATGGAAAGTCTCAAGACAGTTATCACTGACTAAACACCACAGGGATGTTTTCTTGCCATCTAAAATTACTGCTTGCAAGTGTGACATATTATAGAAAAATAATTAACTATTTTCTTAACTCGCTCACTTTTGAGAATACATGCCAGTGTTCTTGAAGGTTATTTCTTATTATAATTTCACATGTTTGAAAACTACTTTTGAAACTTGTATCTGTTGATGGCTTTCTTCAGCCTAAAGGGTAATGAAAACTTCTACAAACCTCTGAGTTCTGCCAATTGATACTCTTTTACAAGAATGTAATTTATATTCTTAATCTTGGAGAAAAAGCAAAGGTATAACTATAAAGGAACTCCAGGCAGATGGGCATGAGAGCAAACAGCCCGAAGAGGATTAATATGTAAGGCTGCTAACTTTATCAGTCCTTTAAACTTGATGTCTAAGTAAGCTGTGCAAAAGAAGTCATCTATTAAAATAAAGCTTATTCCCACACAGCCCAGAGATTGTATTAAATAGCTCATTGTACCAGGGGGTCACTAGAATCAATTAGGTCATATTTATCTTTGTCATTAAGATTGTTTATGCAAATTATAGCTTTGGATCGTTTCTGTGTACCTTCAGTGCAGAGTTGATTACTCCCAGTTGTTGGCATTTATGAAGAATCAAATTTAACTTTATTATATTTGTGTCTGTTTCATTCAGATAAGGTTATATAAATATTTTTTTTATTTTATGCAGTATGTGCACCAGAGGGCACTATGCTTCAGGTCTGCATACTCTTTTATATAGCATGAGAAATTTATAAATTTTATCTGTAATCCATATTAGAAGAAGATACTAAGTATCCTTTGCATTGCATATTTATTCATGGCTGAACTTTCAAAAAAATTTAAAAAAAGCCTTAGTCAATGCTAAGCACTATCAGGTCTAAGAAGCAGAAAGAATGCTATTCTAAGTTTTAAACCAAGTGACAATTACTAAGAATTTTCTGTCTAAATTTGTCAGAGACAAAAAAGTGTATGAGATTTCTGGGCATATGCTTTTATGTATATGTGCTTAATTAAGAATCTTCCCTTCAGAGACTTACTAAAGAAAACTGACTTTAGGACTGTGGGAATGTCTAACACTTCAGCCATGTAAGACTTTTCACAGGCAGGCAGGTAGCACCAGAGCATTTGTCTATGTTGTGCTGGCATCTGTTTCTGTCTGGATATCTAAGGTGTCATATGCATGAGTTTCGGTGACTTGACTGATTAGCCAATCAAGTGTGAATAGCAGACAGATTCCATATGTTTCTTCAGGTTTTGAGTTGAATCAAAATCATTATTTGGGTCACAGTATTTCAAAGTCTGAAAGACATAAAACACGTGGAGAGGCTCTGTAAAGCTCATGTACTGCTTGGTGTTTTTTAAAGTAATTTTATTAGCCTCTCTCCTGTGCCTATTTTGTAGCTTAAATAACATGTTCAGATGCTAAGTAGATTTTCAAAATGAGGATTTAAGGCCCACCTATTTTTGACCTGGGTTATAACAATTTAAAAGCTCATGTGCTTTATCAGCAATGCAATGGTTATTGATAATTCTGTGAAATGAATAAGGTAAACTCTTATTAAAGTTCTTCAGTGTTGGTGCCAAGAGGTACTTGATTTTGCCAACCAGCATTTCCTTAAGGGTAGAGACATTGCTTACCTTTCCATACAATGCCATAGATACAAAAATTTATTCTGAAGAGACTGACTTCCATTTTGAAAGGGTAGGAATCTCAGATTTAGTTATTAGACTAATTTTATAGGGGTTGTCCTTACTTTTGTCTTTTATTTACCGCCAAAAATAAGTTTTAGGTGCTAAGCATTAGCTGTGTGTGCCACTAGAGAGAGGCAGGCACATCTCTGACTTTGCGATGAGCCTGGTCTAAGGAGCAAGATTGTGGACAGCCAGTGACAGTCAGGAAAACCCTTTCCCAACAGAGAAAATAAGTTTTGAGTTCTTTTTTATAACTTTTGCATATATTTTCCATAAATACTGATATGGAAATTATGAATATTTAAAACAGATGGAAAATTAATATATTCAACATTATCTACTTGGTTTATCATTTTAAGGCCATATGATTTTCTAAAGTAATCATCCAGATCTACTATGCTTATAACCACGATAAACTCCTTCATGTGGCATATTATATTGCCAAATCTTCTGGAAGGCATTAGCTCTGAATTTCGAGCATATTAAGCATGGCATGTTAACATAATTAGGTCAAATCTCTTTTCCTTGCCCTTGTCTTTCTTCACCCCATGTCCTTTTCTGGAGGCATAGCTTCCCTTTCACTTCAAATACTAGAGCAAGATGAAATTATTAAAGATCACAGTTCTCACACACCAAAGGAGCAATTATCATTGTTTCCTCCCCTATCAAAAAAACTTTTTGACAAATAAAGCGTTTATCCTTCTATATTTGTTTGATAGAAGCACATTTAAATTACTATCGAATTTTGCTCCTGGAATCAGGGGAGCAATGTCTCATATAAGAGTTGCATCCCTCTCTGTGTTACACTACTGCCTTTGGTGTGTACTGACAATTCCCTTTGGTGGTAGTAACACTGCAAATACCTTCCCTTTGCAATATTAGGAACATGCTTGACAAGATTAAAGTGGTATATATTTGTCTGAGAAATATTTCTTCTATAATATTGTGACATATTTAATGGTAAATATATTTGCTGTTTATTATTTTTTTAATAGAACTAGTTGTCAATTTTTTTGCTTATTAAACGTGGCAAGTCTAAGCAAAACTGCACGAGCATTCATATTGAAGATTTATATGAATGACTCCAGGAGTCCTCCATGACTCAGGATCTGGAGCATGTAGAATATGAATATGGATACTTCTTTTATTTGGTTGCATGTTAAAAATGGAGATGTAATCTAGAATTCATGCTTACATATGATTGGAAAATAGAAGCGAATGGTAGAACATTTAAAGATAAAATAAGGGGTTGTATAGAAGTGACTCAGAGGTTAAAATGAATGACACCTTTCACAGGGACCAAGATCCAATTCCCAACACTTACATTGTGAGTCACACCATCCATAACTCTAGGAGATCTAGTGATCGTTTACGACCTCTGTGGGTACCAAACTGGTTTGTGATACATAGGCAAAATACAGACAAAATGTACAAACATACACACAAAAATAGAAATAAATAAACCTTTAAAATACTGAAAAAGAAGTAACAAAACCAGTTACACTGAAGAAATGTTTGACCTTGAATCATAAAATAGAAATAAACATACTGTGTCTTAATAAGTAGGAACTTTGATCAGATATCCTCATTACTGAAGGAAGTAAGCACAAATGTTTAAATTTAGCAAACAATAGAATTAGTAATCATCTTAAAACTCAGTGGTAGCTTGCACTTATTCTTATTCCTTACCCATAAACAAATGTTCCCCAAATATTAAACACACCTATAAACATTACTGGTATGTGCACACTTGGTTACTTCTATATGTTATATGATGCTGTGACATCTAAAGAAACAGATCTGGGAAAGACAAGAGTTTGTAAATGTATAAGAATTTGGTTTAGGTAAGGTGAGATAAGTAGACAAAGTAAAATAAGAGTAAATGTCAAGTAAAATCATTTCATCTAAAGATGTTCACAGAAAGCACAGCTGCTTTAAAATGATATTGAAGTGTTATACCATATTTCTTAGGTGATACTAACTTTGACTTGGAACATAATGTTTAGAAAATCCTACATGCATAAACCCAAATGGTTAACACACACCAAGAATAATGGTCATGTTAAGGTCAAGAAAAACCTTTAAAAATTAAATAGATATTCAAAAGCAATTTTGTTAAAATTAATGAAATAGAAGTTTAACAAATTTATATATAGCCAGGTAGATGGTCCAATAAGTATAAACATTGCCCCACAATTCTGATGACCTGAATTTGATAGGGATCCATATAAAGGTAGAAGGAGAGAACTAACTTCACAAAGTTAGCCTCTGTCTTCTGTCATGTACTATCATGTGTTACCTTGCTCTCTCAACTCCATTATAGTAAGTTTCTAAATGTAATATAAAATTCTTAGAGAAAAAATAGCTATATATAAAAAGACATCATATACATTTTAAAATAACCTTCCTGTGGATAAATAAACAATTAAATACTCTTCCCCAAAATAAAAATTGTAGAAATATAAAACTTGGCAAAATGTGATTTTAAGAAAGTCAAAACTGCAATTATTTTAAGAAATGCAAAGAAATAAATAGCTGGTAATTGCCACAAGATACAAACTGGAGCATGTTGCATATTGTCACATGAAACAAAGTTTCACTCCTCAGATGAGGGAGTTTGGTAATTCCCTTCAAGTATGCACAAAGCCATACCACCTAATGAGGAAGTAACTGTAGAAGGAACGGCAGGCTGCTTCCTGCTGCCCTCCCGGGTAGCTTTACCCTAAATAATTATAGGGAAACTGTATTCATTTAAACACTGCTTGGTCCATTATCTGCAGCCTCTTATTGGCTAACCCTTACATATTGATCTAACCAATGTCTAATAATGTGTGTAGCACCACGAGGTTGTGGCTTACTGGGAAGATTCTAACCTGTGTCCATCTTGGAAAGGAGAGCCATGGAGTCTGCCTGCCTCTGATTTCTTTCTCCCACAATTCTGTTCTGTTTTCCCTGCCTACCTATGTTCGGAACTATCAGGCCAGGCAGTCTCTTTATTAATTAAACAATGAAAGCAACAGAAATAAAGAAGATCCACCTACATCAAGTAACTATATTTAATCCTTTATATAAATTTAATAACTGTGATTCCCACACAAATGTTAATTCATGCTCTTCATAAATGACGTGAATTACAAGGTAAAGCAATGTAAGAAAAATAACATACCAATAATTAGAATATAAATTTTATGTTTTGTA